CTGCTCTCCCTGCTCTCATCCATGCTAGGCTGCATGGATGCGCAGGGAGTTCTTTCCCAGAACAGAACCGCCAATCCAAACTGTATGCTAATTGTCAATCATCTTTGACGATAGTGGTCCTGACAGAAATCTAGCGTAGCGTTAGATCTGCCAGGTAACATTAGTCAAGCTCGCATCAGCTGAGTTTCAACTGATCCCCATCAACCTATGGGAATACGACACCTATCTAAACATTCATATATAAGGTCCCTCAGTATTATCGGCCGTTTTTGCATTGCTCAATAGCTAATTACCCTCCTCCATCCCCAACTCCTCCTCTGTCAGTCAGGATTCAGCCTTCTGATTCTCCTTTGAATCAGACTAATTCTAAAATGTGTACATAACATTATTGAACTTTAACAATATCTGCAATACATTTGTGTTGGTTCTGTTCTGTTTACCCTGGGGGGGTTATCGCTGCTCTCATCCATGCTAGGCTGCGTGGATGTGCAGGGAGTTCTTGCCCAGAACAGAACCATACCGTCAATCCAAACTTTATGCTAATTGTCGATCATCTTTGACGATAGTGGTCCTGACAGAAATTGTGTCAGTGTCCAAATATATATGGACCTAACTGTATGTTTACATTTATTTTCTTGGTTTGATTGCTTCTGTTGTCCTCATTTGTAAGTCGCTTTGGAAAAAAAGCATCTGCTAAATGATTAAATGTAAATGTAATGTAATTTTATATGCACTTTTGGAATGCCATACTAATTTTTAGAGGTCAACCGATGTATCAGTTTTTCCGATCACTCGGCACCGATAGATGATTACTGGAAATTAATTAATGTACATAATGACTTAAAGGGGTCATATGATGTTGCTAAAAAGAACATTATTTGGTGTATTGAAATGTTTGTGGTTTAAGGTTAAAAAACACATTTTCCACATACTGTACATTATTGTTTCTCCTCTATGCCCCGCTTTTCTGAAACGCGTTGATTTTTACAAAGCTCATCGGTCTGAAAAGCAAGGTGTGCTGTGATTGGCCAGCTATCCAGTGTGTTACGATTAGCCGAATACCTTAAGCATGTGACGGAAATGTTACACCCTAACATACTGTGATGATGCCCTGTCAGGCCGGAGCGATGATTCAAAAACATGAAAACCCATTATAAACTAGGCATTCGTTGCATCCAGTGGGGACATAATTATGGATTATAATGACTTATACTGTCTTTTTACGTGTTGCATTGCATCACGCCGTGTAAACATAAAACCATGTCTGCATTTGTGATTGGAGAAATGACAAACAACAAGCCCTACTCTACACTGCCCAAAAAACTCGCTTTAAATATAAAAAATATAAAATATAAAAACTCTTTAAATATAATATACTTGCAGTCTTTGAGTCAGAACAGCCGGCATTGTAGTCTACTCTACCAGGATCAGGAAATGGTCGCTTGAAGTGGAACTGCAAGCTAACCGCTGTTTTCAGAAGGCAAGCGCATTTATCCACAGTGGAGAGAGCACGTGTGCACATGGTTGCCAGGTTGACAAAGATAAGTAGCACACTTAGCAGATATTTCCGTATTGCGCAAGTGTAAACCTCTGATTTGGGGATTACGTCTCTTTATATCAGGCAACCCAGTTGTGTTCCTCTGCGGCCAGATTAAACCTTGTTGTAGCCTATATATGTCCTATTCATTCTTTTTTAGAAACCTCAAACTTTTCTTCTAAATTTTAAACATTGTAAAATGTTTTACAAATTAAGCGTGGTCCACTGCTGCACACTAGCCACAATATCATACACGTATCGTCAAATCTCTGTGACGATACATCGTCATATCAATATTTTTAACACCGCACTAATCAGCTCCAGGCATGACGAAGCAGATATCGTCCTCTTTTGGAAAGCCAAACAAAGTAGTTTTGCTTTCACAACGAAACACACAGCGCCTTCACGACATGGCGGTGGCGGCAACAACAATACTACAGCGATAATAAAAGTTACGCCTTCTTTCTTTGCGTGAACATTTGGGCGGCATTATGCAAATCTTCCCACATAGTGACGTAGATATGTGGGGGCGTGTTAGAACGAGCCATTTTAGGTAGGTGTGACTGACTCTTAACTTTTATAAAGAATATCTCTTTGGATTTGAGACTTTAGTCTTTGCAACTTTACAGATCTTCTTTATGCACCAAGTATTGTAACTTGGTGTATTTCTCTTGTAACACTCCAAAGAGAAAGGAAAAATTGAACGCATCATATGACCCTTTCAAAATTGTGTATTGTGCATTTTTTTCAGCAAAACGTTTGTCTTTCTTTGGCTCTAATAAAGTAGTCCCTATGCTTAATTTATTGAACTATAATATAGATCACGCTTTCTCTAATTTGCTCTGTATTTTTAATAGGGCTGTGCGATATTGAAAAAAAATGCAATATGCGATACAATATTGCTTAAAGTGTGAAAAATCAATTTAAATTATATTTTTTAATATTTTTAAATGAAAATTATATAACCAATTTGTTTCACATTCTTTCTTGGAAAAGAAAGAATCACTACAACTTCTGAAAGTGCACAGCAAAATATCCAGTGTTGTTTAGAGTTGCTTTTATGGTGTTAATTTATCAGAGTTAAAAAGTGTTGATTTGAATGGCATTAACACTTGCAGTGTAAATCAGTGGTCGGAGTAAGTGTAATTACAGCGAGTTGACATAATTGACACTGGTGATGAGTTGATCCAATTTCCGGTCCTTGCACATTATTTCCTTTTTGATTAATGGCGGACGACCACGAGGAGAGGACAGTGTTCAAACAGGTATATTATTTTATAACCACTTAAATTGACCAATTTTCATGTTTAGTTTACGTTTCTCCCATTCAGAATAATATTAGTATATTTCTCAACATTGCTAGAGTGCTAACAGTATTTATTTTCAGATAACGCGACAGACCACCGACAGGATATCGAGGCCATTTAGTTGCACCACTTGTTAGCAAGCAAATTGAGGTAAGAATGGCATTGTTTTTTAGTTAGCCGTTTTAAACGTACGTTTTCTTATATTTTAGAATCTGGGGTAGATAACAGGGTAATTTCTGTGATTTGTGTAACTTGACTGTTTAATGAGTTAAATCAACGCAAATAACGCAGCATCCATATCCCCTTCTTGGGGGCTCACGTTATTTGTGTTGCCAAAATAAGACATTGTAATGCATTTTTGTTTCCAGTATTTTAGTATAACTGTGCATTGTGAGCAGCAATCAGTAACGCGCAGTTTTTTTTTTTTTACACGTGGGCGCACAGCTTCGGATGATCCGAGGAATTTACATGAAATGTAAAGCGGTTACTCTCGTCTGCAAAGTAAAAGGCAGCGGAGATAAATTATCAGATAGTCAAGCAAGAAGCGTTTGGCTAAACTTATATTTTCTGCCAGCGTATGACTATGAACTAATATTTGCTAATATTCGCGAGCTTCATCTGCAATAGTAGAAACTTACAATTAACTCGCTGCAATTTCACTTTAATGTAACGTTAACATCTGTGGGGTGACAAATGGAGCTTCTGACAAGCGGCTCGCTGGATTTTCTTTAATATTAACAACGTCATAATTTGCATTTTTCTTGACCAACAGCTTTCATGTTCATCAAGGCATTAAGACATTTGTAAAACTGCACAGCGATAGTAGGTTCCAAGACTTTTTCACTGAAGGTAAGCTTAGAATCTTGTTCTACTGCTTAGAAATGTACTTAGTCATATAGGAACTATGCTTGAGGTATAAGCCCACAGTGCTTTTGTATGCTAACACGTTACAATAAGGTCTCATTTGTTAACATTAATTAATGTGCAAACTAACTTTATTAGTTAATAAAACTAGAACTGTTTGTTCATTTTAGTTCACAGTGCATTCATGTTAACATACCAATTTTGATTTTTATAATGTATTAGGGAATGTTGAGATTAACATTAACTAAGCTTATTAAATGCTGTAGAAGTATTGTGCATTCTTAGTCCATGTTAACTAATGAAACCTTATTGTAACGCACCAGACATCAGCTTGTTAATATTGTCAGTCACATGACAGCAATTCATGCGTAAAACTTCAGTGCACAGATGCAAGAAATGCACACAACTGTGTCAATTGGTGTAGAAAACAATGTTAAGTTTAGCATTAACTAATATATATATATATTTTTTTTATTATTATTTTTTTTTTACATTGAAGGAGATCCCCACCCGCAAACAGCAGGAAACTTATGCCTTGAGCATTATTTCTCTTTCCTAGCCCGAGAGACCCGTTTTCAACAAAGGGCTATGTAAGAATCTTTTGTATTGATGTACTTTTAACACAATCTAGTTGGACATGAAGTTTTGTGCTCCTTTTTTGTGGCATGTAATAGTAGTTTATCTATTAAATGTAATGTAATGCCTAACGTAATGTTCAGATCTTACAAAGTGTTCTCTTGTCTTTCTGACAGGAGCATTTCTACGTTCCAGAAAAGGGAACAGAGTTCATCTCCTGGCGCCTTAAAACTTTGTTGAGGAAGAACCCAAAACGTGTTGGCTTGGAGATGACTGAAAGTGGAGGACCAAGTCGACGAAGAAGGATAGATGATGTGCAACAACTTGAATGAGATGCATGCAGAGAGGTAACTTATTTCCTTGTCCATACAGCTGATGAAGCTGAAGTTATGCAAAAGATGAAGGAAACTTTCAAGCATAAACAATAGGGCTGCACGATAAATCGCATGCGATATTTAATGCCCATCTTGCCAGTAAAACCGGTTCTGTAATCAGCTGTAAATCTCTACACGTGCGTGCTTTCACATGGAGCAGCATTTACTACACCGAGCAGTTGTTCACTGACAAGCTGCACAAAACCACGATCATATTTTGCACATGTTTTGGTTATGGCATGATTTGTAAGGATGTCAATTTCATATTTTTCTCTGGTTTCTTGTTATTGTGAGCACTAAATGTTTGTTTGTTTTATCCTAAATCGCCCACCACCCCCTAAACATCTTCATTCAGATTGGGACGGTTACATGTCCTGCTGCTGTTGCATCTCCTGCCTTCTGCTCCAGGGAGGAAGAAGACTAAGATCAGTACAAACAGAGACTGGTGACAGACTTGTGCATTACCATAAGGTAAAACTAACAATACTGTTGCAAAGTCATTGTGAATGTTTAAATGCAGTGGTTTTCAATCATAGTCCTTGGGATTCACCCCTCTGCACATCGTTTCTCTGACCTGACACTTAAGGGATGGTTCACCCAAAAATTTAAATCGTCATTTACTGTTCCAAACCTCTATACATTTCTTTGTACTGCTGAACACAAAGGAAGATATTTTGAAGAAAGTTTGTAAACTGGCTGCTTTGGGCAGCCATTGACTTCCATAGTAGGAAAAAAATTAAGTACTATGATAGTTAATGTCTTTACAAAGTGGCCTGTTTACAAACTTTCTTCAAAATGTCTGTTCAGCAGTACAAAGAAATGTATACAGGCTTGGAACAACTTGTGGGTAACAACCTTTTCTGTAAATTACAAAATTTTCATTTTTGGGTGAACTAACCCTTTAGTTTATTTCATGGAGCTCTTGCCTAATGAGGTGAAGATGTGAAGCAGGTTTGTTGAATAAGGGAAATACACAACATGCAGAGCGGTGGGTACACAGGACAGGGATTGAAAATAACAGGAATGTGTCTAAATGTTCCTTTTGGACTTTAACTGATTGCACATGTTCACTTGCATTATATTGACCTACAGCTCTCGGATGTCCATGTACAACTCTTTGTTTGTGTTCTAATGAAGTCAGTCAGTCACATAGCTTAATTTGACTGAGGGTGTATCAGCAAATAATTTATTTTATTTTTTTTTCCCTGGTTTATTTAATCTATTTTGTTTTGTGCTTTTTTTTTCTTTTTTTTCCCCCTCTCTTTAGTCCTGCACCAGTATTGAAGACTGTCTCAGCAGGAGGGAGGGCCACCAGCCATTCCTACTGAGATCAGGAAGGATTAACCACTTTTACGTCGTTGTGGACAAGCGCCTCATCCCTTGCGTTGGAACCAGCTCCTTGAGTGCCTTTTGAACTTTTTAAAATTCACTGTCACTGTTCCACTACGAGGAAGCCCTGGTGTCAAAAGCCAACAGCTTGTTCTACAGGCCTTTTGATCTGCAGTGTTTATATGGGTCAGATGATGGTGAATATATTGTACCTTCTGTGTTGGTGTAATAGCTACATCTGTGTTAAAAATTAAATTTCAAACTGATACAGCATGTTGACTTTGTTTTTTGTTTTTTACACCGAATGCACAGGTATTTTTAGTTGAATACTGATTACACTTAATTACCTTAATCAGGGTTAGTATGAACACTATATTAGTGTGGAAATAAGTCTCTTGGTGTTAAGATATTGACACATATGGTGTAGTTTCAACACTAACTTGGTGTAAATGAGGGGGAGGGAAAACACTAATGGTGTTAACGGTGAACACTTACAGTGTTGTTTTTACTCTATGCAAGTGTAAAAAAAAGTAACACTATTTAAAGTGTTCGTTTAACTCTATTTAGTGTGGACCTATATAAACCCCAAAAAGTGTTAATTCTCACTGTGAGTGTCAATTTAACACTTTCAAATTTGCTGTGACCAGCAGTATTTTAGCAGTACATAAAATGTAATGTCACAAATCAGAGATTTATTTAGCAATTTTATATAGGCTACTTTAATTTTATATTAGCACATATTTTTTATAATCCTACTGTTCAAAATACCTTGGATTTTCCCTAAATAACCTCTATATGGAGTCAAGATATATTTTTGTTATGGACTACTTGACAAGAGTGATGTAGTAATGTTCACTGTTAAGCTTACACTGCGAAGTATCTGAGAGAAAACTGATTTGACCATCTGATTTTCACCAGTAAGAAAAAACGTGTTTTAAAACTTCTTGTTTTGCAGAACATCACAGTTATATATAACATGAGAATAAGGCCGGAAGTTAGGAAGAACATTTTAAGGAAAATATATTTTCATGATTTTTTTTTTCTCAAACCTTGTCTGTGGTGTAAAACACCCCTGGCCACATGCCCCCAGAGGGCATCACTTCCCACTTTGATAATTACTGTAGTTACCATGTTCTGAACATCACATCCTTTATTTACCCACAGATGTAATCTATCTAGGTGGTTGAATAACAATATTTGGACTTTATATCTAAAAATTACCTCAACTTATCACCAGCAAGCTAGTTAGCATCAGCTAACAATATTTACTTATTTTCAGTACGGTTATGATGAATAAACATTCATATCTGTCTACTCCGCTAGTTAATCCAAACAATATAAAAATGTATACTGTTGATAAATAATATAAAAACAGACGTCACATAGGGCTAAATGTGTAGCATTTTAATAAAACTGTTAACGTTAAGGCAGCGGGAAAATATGAACGTCCATGAGTTATTTTAATCAGTTATTTTAACGTTTCGTTTTTTTTTTACCTAAAACAGAGACGCTGATGTTGATGTGTCTGCATTCAAGCATTTCAGTGGGCTTAAATAGATCACCCTTTACAGCAGATTTAGTTCACAAACAACTGACAGTTTTGAACTAAATATGATTTTCAGTTACAATAATTAATCCTAAAATTCGACGTTAGTAACTTACTTTTAGCAGCATCAGTCGCGCGCACTCACAAGATCTCCCGGTTCTTACTTGTGAATTCAGTTCACTGGAGACTCGCACTAAACGGTTCATTTGAATCAGTGAGTTGTCCACTCGAGAACAGCTGCAATCGGATCATTCTAATTCGTGAATGAATCGTTGGGTGCAATTTGTGAACAGATTTAAAAGGTTCATTGAAAAGAATAAGTTCGTTCTTGAATCAGACACCGCTTCTGCGTGTCGGAGCACGTGATATAAGGAGTAATGATATGTTTTATGAAATATAGTGAAGTAAAAAGTATGATCTTATGCGTTGGAATGTAGTGAAGTAAAAGTTAAAGTTACTCAAAATAAAACTACTCCAGTAAAGTACAGAAACTTGAAAAATGTACTTAAGTACAGTAACAAAGTAAAACTACTCCGTTACTGTCCACCACTGCTAGCTAAATATTTAGTCTGGTTGTTGAAGAGAATTTAGTATATTTAAACTTACATATTTTGAAAATACTGTATTCTAATCACTTCTGGCATATTTTATGCTGACAGGGTTAACATGTTAAGCTTTGGCAAAGCAAGTAAGCAAACTCATACGAAGAAAATGTGTCAATTGAAAAGTCACCAACTTGCTCACCTCAGCCGGCACTGAAGAGACAAAAAATCTGTTGTCCTGATGTCACTAAAAAGGATGGCCTTTTCTTAAAGGGACATTAAGATAGGACCTATTCCCCAATAGGACAGGGTGGACAACCATTCAATTGACATGGACAAAATCTTCTTTTTTTATTAACTAAAAATACAAATCTCCAGCCCGCTGGCCGCACCGAAGACAAGCCCGCCAACCACGTCAAGTTTCGAACTTGTGCATCGAAGTGTGCTGGCCGCGCCGTTGTCAAGGCCGCCGGCCATGGCTCTCTCCAGCCCGCCGGCCTCACTGAAGACAAGCCTACCGGCCACCCAGATGTCGGCTTGCCAGCCGCGCCGAGTCAAGCCTGTTCGCCCTATGGCAAACCTGTTGCACGTTCAGATGGCAAGCCCGCCGTGACTCTCTCCAGCCCGCCAGCCTCACCGAAGACAAGCCTACCGGCCGCCCAGATGTCGGCTTGCCAGCCGCGCCGAGTCAAGCCTGTTGGCCCTATGGCAAGCCTGTTGCACGTTCAGATGGCAAGCCCGCCGGCAGTTCATATGGCAAGCCCGCCAGCCGGGGCTATCTCCAGCCCGCTGACCAGGCCGATGTCAAGCCCGTCAGCCGGGACTATCTCCAGCCCGCTGGCCACACATATGCAAAGCCTGCCGGACCGTTATATGGCAAGCCCGCAGGACGCTTAGCACTCTCACCTGCCGACACGCCTTTTCCCCCCGATCCAGAAGAGGAAACTAGGGGTGAGGAGAAGGGTGTCGGCTCCTACCCCTAGAGCTCGCTCCAGTGTCAGCTCCAGCCACAGAGCTCACTCCAGTGTTGGCCCAGAACACGCCTTTTCCCCACAATCCAGAAGAGGAGACAAGGGGTGAGGAGAAGGGTGTCAGCTTCAACCCCAGAGCTCGCTCCAGTGTTGGCCCAGACCACAGAGTTCACGCCAGTGAAGGGCTCCCCGATCCCCCGTCGAGCCCAGGAAGGGCTCCCGATCCCCAGTTAAACCCAGGAAGGGCTCCCAATCCCCTGTCATGACCCACGGAGGGCCTCAGAACCTGTAAGCGTCCCCAAGTAATTTGGGGGAGTAGTAGAGCCTGTGTTCCCTACTCCGCCATGGCACCCGGAGCTGGCAGATCCACCATGGCGTCCGCTCTGGAGGTCTCCCACGCCCCGGGGGGAGTAATGTCAGACTCCGGGCCAGGTTTTGTGTGTGTCTTTGCTCCCCATGTAGGGAAGGGAAGGGGCTCCCGATCCCCAGTTAAGCCCAGGAAGGGCTCCCGATCTTCCGTCCAGCCCAGGAAGGGTTCCCGATCCCCCATCGAGCCCAGGAAGGGCTCTCGATCCCCCGTCGAGCCCAGGAAGGGCTCCCGATCCCCAGTTCAGCCCAGGAAGGGCTCCCGATCCCCAGTTAAGCCCAGGGAGGGCTCCAGTCCCCTGTCATGACCCACGGAGGGCCTCGGAACCTGTAAGTGTCCCCAAGTAATTTATTTGGGGGGGTAGTAGGGCTCCAGCCGTAGAGACCGAGGCGGGGGCTGGGGCCGCGGCCTCGGAGGCTGCTTTGCCATGGCCTCCCAAACTACCTGCTCCGCCATGGCGCCCGGATCTGGGACCGCCTTGGGGCATCCCGTTCCGTCCAAGCCTGTCCTTAAGGATCGCCAAGGTGCCCACCCTCCCACTCCTTTGATGTTGTTTGGTGCGAGGACACGCCTTCCGGAGGGGGGCGTCATGTCAGGCCTGTGTTGTGTTTTGTTCCCCATGTACTCCCTGTGTCACAGTGTTTAGCCAT